TGCTACCAGAGCTCCTTCTTTCTAACTTTATGCAGCTGTTAATGCAGTGATGGATGGGTTTCTGCCTTGGCTTCTGTTAGAAGTTGTATGGCACTAAGGCTATTCCAACAAAACCAGTGACTCTACTTAACTGTGCTGAGACCACAGGCATGGCAAGAGTGCAGGAGATTTTGTACATTGTGTTTGTTTTTAAAATGTAGTTGGTTTTAACAGTCTTTGAAGACTCAGATTCCCCCCTGGATTCCCACAGGATTAGTGATTTGTGAGATTAATGATTCATATCTTTCTTCCCCTCCAAAGAAGCTTGTAAGAAGACAGAGATGTTGTTTGCAGTGGAAGGTCTTTTGTCATGTGTTAGCCTTCAGAGGGCACTGACTAAGTGGCCTCACTTCTAGGATTCCCAAATGTTCACATTAAGTCTTTTGCAGAAAGGACAATATTGTTTTCATAAAGAAGCTGTATCTCCTGTTGCTGTGTAAACATTGCCCGGCTCTTGACCCTTGTAGTGTTGAGAATAGCCCAGGAATGGCAGTCATCTTTGATTGGTATATTGAATTGCATATTGTGCTATCTATATATTTAATATATATCAGATGTAGCTGTGTTTACTTGTGCTTTTTCTTAGATGATAGCAGTCTCAGCTTGATGATACTTTTTTTTTTTGCATAGGCTATTTTGTTAACATGGGATGTTGATTTTAATCAGTATGGCCAAGCTGATTGGCCTGTGACTCTTGGGTTTTAGAAGTTTGACCTGATGAAATGCATTCAGTGGCAGCCAAGGTGAAAGACTTATATGTTCTAAGGTAGACAGTACAATTAACCAGCTAATACCAACCTGTTGTCATTGTGTAAATTCTGACTCATGGCGACCCCATGTGGTCAGACTCTTAAGTGTTCTTACTTTGCACACGTTATTATTCTCCTTATGTTCGTTTGAAGGGGGAAAATTGTTTCTCAGGGAGAAGTTGTGTGGATAGGCAGTTTCTTTTGTGTCATGTTATCTTCTGTGAAAAGTTCCTTTTTGCCGACATAAGAGTGCATGCCCTTCTATATGCTGTCTCTCTCACCAGTTGTTAGGGATGAACTGTCCACGCTCCCACATAAGAACAACCCTCCTGTGTGTCTGTTGGGTCTAGTTCCTTCTCACCTAATCAGGGCTTTTTCTCCATTGGTCACCTTTTTATCTCCTGCACCAACCATATCTCCTTTTTTCCTGGTGTCATAACCTGTTAGCATACAAAATATGCCAACTGAAAAGCCATCTCCTGCAACAATACCCGTCTCTTAATCCCATTTCCCTTTCTAGCTCCCTGCTTATTTCTCTCCACTTCTGAGCAAAACTCCTCCCAAGTGTTGATTAAACTTGTCTGCAATCTTTCTCCCACCACAGGCAACCACTGTTCTGATTTCTATCACGATACTCTAATTTTGCCTCTTCTAGAGCCGTAAAGGAGCTGTAGTGGTGCAGTGGTTAAAACATTCAGTTGCTAGCCAAAAGGTTGGTGGTTCGAACCCACCAGCTGCTCCATGGAAGAAAGATGAAGTGGTCTGCTTGTGTGAAGATTTACAGCCTTGGAAACCCTGTGGGTCAGTGCTACTCTGTCCTTTAGGATCTCTATAAGTTGGAATTGACTCAGTGGCAGTGGGTTTGATTTGGTTAGAGCCCCACATACATGGAGTCATGGAGAATGTAGTATTTTTTCCTCTCTGGCTTCTTTTGCTCAACATGATGTTTCTGAGGTTCATTTATGTTTTGTGTGTCAGTGGTTTGTTTCATTTTATTGCTGAACAGTATTCCTTGTTGTCCTCTGGAGCCTACTGGTAGCATTTTCTCATCGTTTTACATCTGTTTCAATTTGTCTAATATCTTTAAGAGTTTAGGGAGTGTCTTACTTGACTCTCCAGTTCTTTGATGACCCACCTCAGGTTTGAGTAACAACAGCAACAACACGGAAAACAGCATGCAGTAACAAATGTTGCTGGAAAGACATGCTACTGATTGAAGAGGTAACAGATACTGACATGACACTCACACCTAGCTGTCCAGTGTTTGAACAACAGATTGCCTTAGGTATGGCCACTAATTTGGCTCTGGAAGTTTAAATGAAAGAGGCTCATTTTCTGCCACTACCTTGCACACTAATTCCCAAGAAGATCATCACCTTGAAATTACTCATGGTACTTATACAGATGATTGGCTTCTTTCCAAGATGTTTGGTAAATGCTGCTTCTATTCTTGAAAAGCAGAGGCTCATGTTAATCTTTTGCTTAATATAAAACCCATAGGAGTCACAAAGAACAAAGCAATGACATAAATCTTTCCTTGGTGAGAGTGATATGAGGGTGGAAGTTGATCATGGTCATTGATGTTTAAAATGAACAAAGCAATATTTGCCAGGATAAAGGTTACTAAACCAAGAGTCTCTTCTTGTAGTTTCCTGGCCATTATATTATCTTTTCTGTTTCTGATTTTCAAGACCTTTTCTCAGCTGTTCAGGTATGAAACTCCAGGTGTCTGCTACTTCATTACAAAAACCTTGATATAGATATCATTTGAATAGTGACTGTGAACATGCTTCCTTGCAGGGCTTAGTTTTCTCCTTGATGACATGACCTTCATTTTGCCTCCTCAGGTTCAGGATATTTTGTTGAGGGCTGAAGGTGGCTGTACGGTGACTAATTTACATTGAGTTTTTCAACTTTGGTTATAGGAGACTTGAACAAGAATATTTGGCATCTCTTTTTAATTGCAGTTAAGTTTAGTTTGCCCCTGAGTAAGACTGCTAACCAGAAGGCTGGTGGTTCAAACCCACCAGCCACTCCTCGGAAGGAAGGTTGGGCAATCCTACTTCCGTAGTGATACTGCCTCGGAAACCCAAGTAGGGGTCGCTATGAGTCGGGGGCGACTCGACGGCAAATAACAACAACAACAACAAGGTAGCAGTGAATAAACCATGAGTGATGAGCAAACTAGTTCATTGCCATTAGCTTTAGAAATGCAGAGCATTGTTTCCTAAATTCCTCCTCTCAGAGATGCTTTAAAAAGGGGATGGTGTATCACTCAGGTCACTGACTCACCTTGAGCTTGGTCTGGTGGCAGAGAAAATGTTTTGCTGGCAGTGAGTGTCCCAGAAAGGAAACAGAGAACTTTGCAGCTGTTAAGTTTCTGGAGTTTTGGAAGAAGTCATCAAAACTTGGGTGGAAATTCACTAAGTCTTTCTTTCCCTTACTGGCAAGTATTAAGTAACAATATTCATTAAATACCACAGAGAGGCTATGTAATAAAGAAATAATCCTAGGCCTATGTGGCTATAACTTTCCAGAAGAGTTGAAATTGAGAATATAATTAAAGATTAAAACATTGTTTGCATTCTAGAACATGGAGAAATCTTTTTTCTCTATTGTGGGACCGTATTAATAAGGAAGAGATCAGTTTCCAATAACCACCACTACCAAAGCTCATTTATTAATATCAGTCACATTTAAACTGTCTGACTGTAATTCTTTTGCCTTTTTCCTACAAGACTTGAACTGTCTCCAGGAGTGGTGAGGGATACCAGTCTTATCTCAAATTAATAAATAAATCTAACTGTATTCAGTATCCTGGGTTTGGATAGGAATCATCAGATAGCAAGGGTTACCTGTATTTGGATCCTTAATCCTGTAATTCATTGTATTGTTTGGGCCACAAAATAATTTTGTCTATTTGTTTCAGCCAGTTTTCTGTGCACAGGTTAAAAGGTTAGGAGGAACTTGTGTACCTAGCAAGGAGCTCTGCTGGTGCAGTGGTTAAAGCATTTGGCTGCTAATCAAAATATTGGCAGTTCAAATCCACCAGCTGCTTGGCAGGAGAAAGACAAGGCAGTCTGCTTCCATAAAGATTTGCAGCCTTGGAAATCCTATGGGGCAGTTCTACTCTGTCCTATAGGGTCATTATGAATCAGAATCAACTCGATTACAGTAGGTGGGAGTGTACCTAGCTATTTTAAGATTTTATAATTGTAGCTGGTGAAATGGCTGGACATACTATAAAATATGATGTCAGGCCATTTTGCCATAGTGACAGAAGGAAAGACTTTGTGGTCAAATAGCTGGTATTCAGAGCTCTTTGAAGCCAGCCTTGGAGGGAAGATCTCAGAGCCTTGCCCTATTGGATTGCCAAGGTTTACCTATACAAGCACCATTTCATTTTTTTCTCTCAACTTTTTTGTTCACGTGTTTGCTTTCTATTTGCTTGGAATAGAAATGGAAAGCATTTGTGGGCCAAGGACGTAGAATGCTTTGTGTGTCCAGTCTCCAATGTTGCATTGCCCTCATTACTCTTTTAGAGGTTCTTATTTGAGGGCCTGGAGAAGACACACCCACTAATATTAAAGGAAGTGTCTTTTTTTTTATGTGCTGTGTTATGGGCAGGTAGTGAAAGAAAATGTCTCTGAGTCTGGGTTGTTGATTGGGGAAGGAAAAATGTGACCAGTCACTGGACAGAAAACAACACATATGGGTGAAAGGATTTAATAAATTAAAAAAAAAAACCTCCACATACACCTTCAACTCATAACTCCTGTAATGCTTTAATTTTTTATTTCCTCTGTGGCATTTGTCTTATTTTGCCTTGGGTTATGGTTACATTCCCTGCTTAGATGGAAAACTCCTTGAGGACAAAGACTTGCCTAAGTTTGTACTGGTAATTGAATGTACTGAGTCTTGAGGCTTAGTTCCTGTAAGCTGCCTTCCTGGCTGATGAAGCTGAGAGCATCTTTTCTCACTATGTCATGGAATTGCTTTCATGCTCCTCATGTTTCTTTAGTAAAAGGTCAGTGTAGCCTTGGGGATTTAAATGACTTAGAATAGGTGCCATTTGGGCAGACAGAAATGCTTATGGTTAAGGATTTGGAGTTTCAGATCTTTCCATCGTGATGATTATTTCCTCTGAGTAAGGATGAATAAGATTGGATCTGGAGGCTAGGGCCAGTGCACAGGGCCTGAGAGCTAGGCAGAGGCCTAACAGCTTGCTACCACCGGAGCATCAGGCCCCTGGGGGCTCATGAACAGAGACTAATATGTGGAAAGTGGTATATTAGGAAGATTAATCAAGTAGCAGAATGCAGATAAATAAGATAGTTCTTTGTAGCTATTTGAAAGATAATTGGTTCATGTTACTTATCTTTTATCCCCTTTCTTTGGGCAGGAGAAAAATCTCTGGTAGAAATAAATAGAGGAATCCTTCATAAATATTAATGTAAAAATCTGTCTATGGAGAATAAATATAGGGACATTTTGTTTTAAATGCTCTATGTCACTGTGCTTCATTAGCATGTATGTTGTAAAAGATACTTTTTTCCCCTTGAGAAAACTGTATTTAGTTCAACTAGTAGCCACAGACTGAAATCTGTACCTTGTCAGGATCATAATACTTTAGATGGACAGAACTACTTTGCTTCCTTGCTTGAACTGGAAGACTTCCTTGTCTTCACTCATACTTCTGCTGGCCCCGGGTAGGGCGTAGATAGGAAGTCCTAGATCCTGTCATATCCATAGCCTCCATCTGGATCTTTGATTCCTGATGCCTGACCCCATGCTTGGTACTCCACTCTGTGTGTGTATGTATATGTACACATGCACACACACACTCATACACCTTTATGCTTTTCATTATGTTCTTTCTATAGGCTAGGTGCTTAGGCATGTGCTTGAATCAGGATGGGCATCTAAAGATACAGAAAGTATGGTATATACCCAGATGAGGAAAGACATGAGTTCCATTTTAGGCATGTTAGGTTTGAAGTGTCCATAAGGCTCAGGTGAAATGATAGGATGTATTGGATTTGCTTTAAATTACTCCATTGTACCCCAACCACTAAAGTGGGTGTGGGGAAAATGACAAAAATAATTCCTAATTATTTAAACTGGATAATGAGTACATTAAAGTTGATGCATTTATTATACTGTTTTCTGTACTTCGATGTATCTTTGAAAAATTTTATAGCAAAATGTTTAAAAAATATGAGTCTGGAGCTTGAATTAGGATTAAAGAGATAATATTTTGTTAGTCGGCAGTGTATTGATGGTACAAGAAGACTTGGGGGTGGATAAAATCTGCCAGGGATCTTGGAGGGAGCCCACGGGAGAGAAGGGGAGGAGTTCACCATCCTGCCTGTCAAATGGTACTTATAGACCCTTGCTGTCTAGTTTTGGGCCTGGCCCCTCTCTCAGCTGACCTGTCCTATGTTTGTCTTAGACCCATTGTGACATAGATTAAAATTTAAAACTCACTGTCTTCTGTAGGAGGAGCTGTGGTGGCACAGTGGTTAAGGCATTTGGCTGCTAACCAAGAAGTCCGTGGTTCAAACCTATCAGTCCTTTCACAGGAGAAAACTGAGGCAGTTTACTTCCATAACGATTATAGCCTTGGAAACCCTATGGGACAGTTCTACTCTGTCCTGTTGGATCATTGTGAGTTGGAATTGACTCGATGGCCGTGGGTAGGTCTTCCATAGATACTTCTGAAGAGAAATTGCATGAAATAGAAAATTGTAATAAAGAACCTGGCCATTAAGCACTAAGTTAAATGTGGCAGCCTGCAGAATCAGTTTAGAAATTATGTTTCATTGCATCCTCTAATTGTATTTCTCCTTTACAAGATGATTTTATTTAGGAAGACAGCTGTCTAGTGTGGTTATTACATCATTCTGGCCATTATTGGGCAAGGGAAGAAAAGAAATAGGTGGTTGTATAGTAGAACTGGTCAGGTAGAAGCAGGGTTTTTTTTTTTTTTAAAAAAAAAACCCTTTTTGCATAAAAAGAATCAGAGCTTCAAGATTTGTTAATATTTCACACAGTGCCATTCCCAGCCCACACTGGTTGTAAGTGAAACTTTTAAAAATCTGTCTCTTTTTTCTTGGAATGGAAAGTAATTTTGGTAGTCTCTTGGTGTGTGTGTGTGTGTGTGTGTGTGTCTTTTTCGTCCTCCCTGTGCCATGTAAGCCATTAGTGGCCCAAAGATTTCAGCCCAGAAAGTCCCATTTACAGTTGTAAGCGATCAAGAAGCAACAAGGCAATTTCTCTGTTCATCTATGTTGAAAATTATTCCGTAAGCACTCTCCACTACCAGAGACCTCAGTAGGCTAGCTCTGCAGCATGAGAGTAAGTGGGAATAGGAAATGGCTTTGTCTTTTAGCTTGAGTCTTAGGGCAGAATGGATTTTGATGTAGTGGGACCAGAAGCTGTGATAGTTCTCATTTATGGTAGCTACACAGGAATTTTGAGTAACAAAACATGAAAAACCTGTTTTCAGCCCAGATTATATTTATTTTTAGTTTACTGAGACATTAAATGTATCATCTCTTCAATTTTGATTAATATGTTTTGGGGGTAGTGGTGAAGTGGGAATGGGAATTTGTTTCTAAACCCAGATTAAGTTCTGAGCTCAGGGTCTGCTGGTCCTTAGGATAAGCAGTCAGGGCTAATCTTCATTCTAGGGGCATTCTGATAGCTGGGTAGACATGGACTTGAAAGGCTCCCAAGGAAAGAGATCAACCTCCAGGCTCTGCTCTGGAGATGAGGGAACCTTTAAAACTGAAGCCCGACTTTGGCTGACATTAGAGTCATATGGGGAGCTCTTCAGGGTATAAGGCCCAGTCAGGTTTTTAAACCGCTCCCAGGGTACTTTTTAAAGTATTTTTATGTAAATCAAAAATAGATAATTTCATTATTGCAGATCTGATATGTATTCTTGTCTTTATGACTTTTTTTAAAAACATCTTTATTGAGATTTAATTGAAATACAATAAATTGCACATGTTTAAAGTGTGAGATGGATAAGTTTTGACATAGACACCTGTGAAAACATCACCTTACTCAGATATGCATCTGAAATTAACAACTACTGCTCCAGAAGGGATGCACATCTCAGAAAACAGTTGTCAGAATATCTGTAAGATGAAGGGAACAGTTATTGTAGGAATAACTTGACAGAGCTTATTTGTTCAAGGCCACAGATGGGAACCTGCCCTGCTGGAATTTAAGATTCAGAAGAAGATGGACTCTAACTTTGTTGTTTCATCATCAGCTCCAAAATGTATCCAGTGTTGTCAATACCATTAATTTCCCTAACCAGTTTTAGCTTATGAGCCTTGGATCTACAGAGAAGGACAGACTGGTGATATTTTACTTTTTCATTTGAGTATAGTCTTATTTTTTTAATCAGTACTTTGCTCCTTCAAGTTAAGTTAGCAGCTATCACCAGATATTATGCATTATTATTTTGGGCACTTTTAACTGTCTTTATGTAGATGAGAAGTACATAGTTTAGTTTATTGCAGGTCTGATGTGTATTCTTACCTTTACAACTTTATATATCGTTTTTATAATAACAGCTTTATTGGCATTTAATTGAAATATAATACATTTCATGTGTTTAAAGTGTCAAAGGGATAAGTTGTCACATATGTATGCACTTGTGAAACCATTAGCTTACTCACCATAACCAAGATAATGAACATATTCATCATCCCAAAAGTTTCCTCATGCCAGTTTGTAATCCGTCTCGTACCACTCCTCTCCCCAGCCAATCCCTACGTTACTATTGTTCTGCTGTTTGTCACTATAGATTAGTTTGTATTTTCTATAATTTTATGTAAATGAAATAATATAGTATATGCTTTTTTTTTTTGGTAAGAAAAATTAATCTTTTTACTCAGCATAATTATTTTGAGATTCATCCTGATAATTACATATTACCAATAGGTCATTTCTTTTTATTGCTGTGTAGTATTCCATTGAATGGATATACCACTATTTGTTTATCCATTCATCTGTTAATGGGCATTTGGGTTGTTTTCAGGTTTTAGCTGTTGTGAATAAAATCAGTATGAACATTTATGTACAAGTCTTTATATGGGCATATTCTTTCATTTCTCTTGGGAAAATATTAGGAGTGCAATGATTAGGCCATATGGTAGGTTTAACTTTTGAAGAAATTATCAAACTGTTTTCTAAAGCATTTATATCATTTTACATTCCCATTAAGAAGGCAAGAGTTGCAATTAATCTGTATCCTCATTAACACTTGGTATGATCAGTTTTTTTAATGTTAGATATTCTATAGGTATGTGGTAGTATCTCATTATAGCTTTAACATGCATTTTCCTAATGATTAATGATATTGAGTATCTATTCATATACTCTCCCCATTTCATTTTTGAAAACTTTCAATTTTCCTAGCTGAGGGAGATGAACTTGTCTGTCAGTTTGTCATACTGTGGTGGCTTGCGTGTTGCTGTGAGGCTGGTGCACAGATTTCAGCAAAGCTTCCATACTGAGATAGACTCAGAAGATAGAAGAGGCCATTCATATCTCAAAGAATTGGCCAGGGAAAACATTATGAATAGCAGTGAAATACTGTCTGATATATTACTGGACACCTGGACACCTTTATGAATAGCTCTGAAACTTTGTCTGATACAGTGCTGGAAGATGAGCCCCTCAGGTTGGAAGGCACTCAAAATACCACTGGGAAAGAGCTGCCTCATCAGAGTAGAACCAACCTTAATGATAAGGATAAAGTAGAGGTTTTGGGACCTCCATTTGCTGACGTGGCATGACTCAAAATGAGAAGAAACAGCTGAAACATCTGTTAATAATGAGAACATGGAATGTACAAAGTATGAATCTAGGAAAATTAGGAGTTGTCAAAAATGAGATGGAACACATAAAGATTGATATCCTAGGCATTAGCATTAGTGAGCTGAAATAGACCAGTTTTGGCCATTTTGAGTCAGACAACCATATGCTCTACTGTGCTGGGAATGACAAGTTGAAGAGGAATGGTGTGGCGTTCATCGTCACAAAGAATGTTTCAAGATCTATCCTGAAGTATAATGCTGTCAGTGATAGGATAGTATCCATGCACCTACAAGGAAGGCTAACTAATATTACTATTATTCAAATTTATGCATCAACCACCAAAGCCAAAGATGAGGAAATGGAAGATTTTTACCAATTTCTGCAGTCTGAAATTGACCA